ATTCAACTTAGCAACTGCAGGAGCAAATGAGCTGGAATTTCACAAAGATGAATTTTCTAGCTCACGTTCAACCCAGACATAAAATTAATGTTCACGTACACCTAGTCTCACGTACGGACCCCCTTAAAAAATGGCAAATTTTGTGGGGGAAAATGACTTTTGGAATCAGACCGGATAAGTGCTTCAGGCAGATATTCTTTGCTCGTATGTTTAAAAAAATTGAAATTAAGACACTTTTGGCAAAATGCCAACTGGGGAATTAATTTGAGTGCTCTAATTTTGCGCGAATATTTGCTGCCTACATACGGGCAAGCACACTTAAAACTCGGCGCACCCTTTTTCGGCATATTTGAACGCGTCAGAAATATTTGTAATGAAAGCGATCTCGCCACGACAGCTAAAATTTTACGAGAATATTCTGTGCCCATGTACGACCTTAACATTTCAAATTCAGCTGTAAAAAATGCTTAGCTTTTGCATTTGCGCAGGTGAGAGTTTAGGCGCATTCAATTAACTCGGTAGCTGGACTGAGCAAGAAGCCGTATTTTCCTGAGTATGTTTGCTGTTCGTGTACTGACTACTAAGCGTAAGATGAACTTTTGCCTGAGTATGGGGGCTGCGTACAGGCACATCAGACTACAAATTACAGTTACAACCATTCTGCAAGATAAATTATGCAAAAACATGTGGTCTCACCAGCATCCCGGATGTGCGGTGCAGTTGTTTTGATTGTCTCGATTTCTCATGTATCATCATAACTATCGCATTAGCATCCATTTTCCGCCCACGGAAAGATTTCAATTCCCTTATCTGAAGTTTCTTAATTCCTCACTGTTTAAGGTTAAGTACACTTCGAGAAGGACGCGAGCTGATTACCGATTCGCGTGATAGTTCAAACTCCTTCACGCTTGTATCGTTAGTTTTTTTTCGGAATACGTATCTGCTAAAACTTTTTTTTCTTCCTAGATTCGCTTTACGGATTGGCATTTGCGCCTGTTTATGCAAAATCCCCTATTTCACTGTGAAAATTGAGAGCCAGCAAGTAGCAAAAAGCAGCTGTGTGGGACCCAAGCTTTTCCGTATTTGTCGCTTCTGAAGTTGCATCGCCTTCTAGCCTGCTGATAATCTTGGTGTTCGTTTCTTTGATTTCTTTACTGTTTGTCCTAAGGGAATATCGAATTTTCTAGATCTGTTTTTTTCTTTGTGGTTCATTTACTTTCCCACGAACGAATCTTCTGCGCTTCCTCGTTATTTATATAAGCTTGCAGTAGGAGACCGAAATGTGTCAGTTCAACTATATGCAAGTTGCCAACTGTACAGATAGAAGGCGCAGAGTTGGCCGAATCCACCTAACAGCCGTCTTTAATATTACGACTTTATTTGTGCAGCAAAGGAGAATTAAATCAATGAATTAATGTGCTGAGCCTAGGATGTGGAATTTCACATAAAATTGATTGCTTTCAGGGGAAACGATGTCTCTGAAAAGAGCAGAATTGAAAGTCTGGATGTTCTCGATGAGCGACATAGTGCAAGCAGGCTTCGTAAACAGTTTGCTGCATTTTCTGTGGATTAGTTGCGTAGATTTCGAGATTAGTCTCACTAAACGGGCTCCAGAAGCATAATATTTGATGTAATGAATGCACTTTGTTTTTTTTTTTTTTCTGTTTTTGATTTGATACTTCATAGGCATTGTTGTCTTTTTCGAATTGTCTGTATTCGTTTGCTCAAAAATCTTATTTAGTAAGGAATTTAGACTTCGTGTTAACTTTAATTTGAACAGTTCTTCTAACGTCTGTTTCAAAAAGAGACTGTCTGAGTGGAGATGGCCGTGAGAGTTGCCGAGTTAAATTCTCTCGATTCTTTGAGCTGGATATATCTTGGCGTCATAAATTGGGCTCTTCAGCGCATTCTTTTAATGAAAATGAAGAATAATGCCTCATAACCCAATGGTACTCTCTTTCGTAATGTTTTCCATTTGGTTCCTCTGTTGTATCAGCTTGTTATTAGCGTTAGTCAATTTTTCCTCTGATATTTCGTTTCTCGTTTCGTTTATTCTGCATACAGTTCTGCCTGCAGAAGTGCCCTTGTATCGAAGCTATTGTTCAGTATTTGGCCAGGGGAATGTTGTCGGTAGAACTACATCGGAAAAAACTGCTTTTTGGAAGCTGAAAATTTTTAGATCATTTTTGGATATTTCTGGAAGCAGTTTAGACTTGTGAAAGTTAATGATGATTGAAAAAGTATTAATTTATTGCGAATGCTCTATTGATGCAGCCTTTTTGAATATGGCGTCTTTTGAATGTGGTGAAATCGTTTTCTATTCTTATTTTTGTGCAGGGTAGTAATGCACTGTATTGTTTCTAGTTAGGTCTTATAATTTCTAATTTTTCCATCGCTTGTTTTGTTTCATTTTTTTTTTTTGTCGCGGACGGTTTTGAATTGCACCCGATGTTTCGCTTTTTATTTTAGCTGCTTCCGCTAATGCTGGTAACGGAAGAGGGAGGAGGGAAGGTGGCGGAGGATTTAATACGTTAAGGGCACAACTTTATCGGTGCTGTGTTTTGCATTTTTTTTCCCACGTAGACATTTTTTGCGTACGCTCAATTCGGAATAGAGGCGATATATCTCGATGCCTTTCACTTTGTTTTTGCTTCTCCTTTCCCGTTCTATTTCTGAGTGCTCCACTGTCGTACAAACAGCCGAAACGTTGAATTCACTGAGAGTTTTTTTTTTTCCCCGGAAATCCCATGCTGATTTTTTGTCAAATAGAAACCATTTGGTTAGTTAACCTATTGGTTTGTTAAAAAAATCAGCCAACTGTATTCTAAATGAATCGTGTGCTGCTTTCATTAAACATTCAGTTGCGACTATCACAGTAACAAGCCTTAAAATTATGGCAACCAGTTGTGGACAGATGCTTAAACTTATCGATTTGCAAAAATTTCTCGCATGATCGTACTGGACGAGCGAATTTGCAAGATGGGACCAGTACTTCACAATTCCTGGGGCGAAAGGTCTACTCTGACTCGGAAGGCAGAATTTATTAAGAGGGCTGAGTTTTCCGAGCGCCAGATTGAACCAGACGTACTTAACTGATCCTGGGTGAGCAAAGGCGGCGAAAGATTGCGGGGAAAAACAAAGCATCAGATTTTTCGAAATTCAAGTACTGAGCGAGATTTACAGAGAAGACGGAGAGAGAGAGGAGAGCATCGTTGGGGTTTTCAAATGTGCGTGTGTGCCTGTTATTCCAACGTGGCATATCAGTGGGGCTG